CCTTTTGAGTTGTTCGCCGCCCTGAGTCCCTCCCGGAGAAGGGCGGCATACAAATAAATTAAATCTTAAATCTTAAACTTCCAGAATGACTTTCAGATCCCTAATGAACAAGGCAGACCTGTCATCGAAAAATCTGGTTTTTGTATGAAATGCAGGCTTTAGAAATTAATATAGTTTAGGCAGTGCTGCATAAAGAACTCTACTTTAGACTTGTAGATGCGGTTCTGGTAACATGTGTTGAGTACCCTTAGAACTGAAACCACATGGAGATGTTAAGAAAATCGAGATAATTATTTTTATTTTCTTTTTGTAAGCCGGTCCAAGTCCTTCGGGATTGGGCGGCCTATAAATTTTATTAATAAATAAATAAATAAATAAATTTTTATTTTCTGTTTTATTCAATCTATATCCATGCATTTTAGTAGAAACAGCAAATGTATGCTTTTCTGGATAAACCTATGTTCGGTTTATCATTTTAGAATGCCATCTTACAGTAACTACTAGGAGATGCATGTTTTTTTTTTAAATCACCCTCATGTTTTGGAACTCTCTCTCTCTATGGAGATTTAGTTTGATCTTTTCCCTCCTGGGTTTCAAAACAGCACTTAAAAGACTTGGGTTTCTAACTTGCCCAGGATGAAGACATGCTTTCACTGCTGGGATGAATTGGTGGATACATAACTTAGTCTTTTGTTTTTAATCCTTTATGAGGCTGTTGAGCTTTTTAAAATTATTTTGTTTAGTGAGATTATTTTTACTGAAGTATTTTTCCTTAGGATGTTTCTGATAACTGCTCAAGTCTTGCAGAAATGAGTGGCCGAAAGATTTTAAATAAACGTAAATGTAACATACAATGTGTCTGTTTATTTACTATGTTAAATATAAATTGAATGCTATTGATGAGACATCTCTTAGTATTTACACATATGGTTGTGTGAAATGACCCTCATCTTGCTTACATTTCAACATATGTACATTCGTGCCACTGGCACAAAGTTGTTCTTCAAAATGCAGTTGTCACTACCAAACTAGATCGCATTTTATAGCTTGTCCAAGAGTTTGGAGTAGATAACAATGTGTTACAGGTAATTATAATCTGATTTCAGCTTTATCCATCTGAAGCTGTGCTAGTAGTTCATCTAGTGATATTACCTTTGTAAAAAGAATTGGGATTCTGTAAGTGAAAAATGAAACATATGAATGAAGCAGCTTGATAGTTTTGTAAATTAATTAAATCTTGATAAATATAGGATTTGGTTATTCTTATACTAGAATGCTGAATTGGAACTAGAGTGCTGGAAATAAATTTCGCAAAAATTATATAGTTTGTCTTATTTTATTTGACAAACTTTCTAGGATATTAGCTCATTTTGGAAATTCCAGTGGTTTGTGAAAATGTTATGTACAATATAAAAAATAATTCTGAAAAAGGTCCCTAAAAAGATTTTAGGTTCTTTTTTAATAAAATGAGAAATATTTTTTTGTAGATTTTAAATATGTTAGGTATCTGTACAAAAAATGACTGGGACTTCTTAAGTTCAGTTATTATTCTTCAGGATTTATCCTCCTTGCAGACAGCTGGTCACTTGCATTCTTTTAGAGAAGTGTTGAACCCACTTGGAGGTTTATCTGCTATTAGGGTCACCTGAGTATTGCAAATAGGTGTTAAGCCTTCTTGGAACTGTTAAAAGGACTGTGTTGTAGGCTGGAGATGCTGGTAGATGATGTAGTATGATATCATTGTCAACAGGGAGGGATATGACATCGTTTATCACCAGTCTACAACATGGTTCTTTCAACAATTCCAAGAAAGCTGAATACCCATTTGCAATATTCAGGTGACCCTGATGACACAGATAAACCTTCAGGTGACCTCACACCTCTAAAAGAATGCAAATGACCAGCTGTCTGCAAGGAATATAAATCTTTCCATTCCCCACCATCCAGTCACATCTGAAAAAGCTTCTTAGATTAGAAACAAAACATCTTCAATGAAAAACAAGAAAGTCCAGTTGCCTCTGAAAAAGCACCTTTGACACAAGTAAATACAACTTTTGCTGTGAATTCAAAGGTGACTAATCAAATGCAGCAATCTGCAAACATAAGCCTAGCAAGATTTACTTTAATAAAACTCTCTTAAGATTTGGAAATTGAACAATACAAAATCTAGGTGAATTTAAATTCTTAAATTCAAATTATTTAATTCTTACATTACAATTAAACACAGCTCATAATGCTTTTATATCAGTCTACGTCATTTGGGGAGTCATTTTTTGTTACTCTAAACATCCACTTTACTGCATATCATCATTACATGAATCAATTTACCAATAAGTCCAGATGTTTCTTAACCCATTTTATTTTATTTATTTTAATAACTGTAGGGTACTAAAAATTGTCACATGGCTGTTTTGAAATATTATTTCTGCTATTCTCTATATCTCTGTAATATGTGTCAGGCTAAATATAAAGAATCTTTCTTGTAATTATTTGGTTAGTATGTTTTGCAGGGTTATTCAGATAACTTAATTTTTTTAAAAAAAGTAAACTATTTTAACAGTAAATGTCTACTCTTATCCTCCACAGAGTGTACTGTTTGCTGCAAGTCAACTTGGTCCAATCTCCAGGATCTTTGTCGATTGGAGAAGGTGTGTTGCCCTTCCTTGGGCATTACTAAAAAAAACCTCAGTGATTTTGAAGTAGAATATCTATGTGATTATAAGAAAATCCGGGTGAGTTTCTTGGATTTCCCCATAGTTTTAATCTTTTCTTTTATATGATTTAATCTTCATCAGGTCTCTGTTGACAGCGTACCTGTATTGACATTTTCATAATTTATACTTTCCTTCTTTCTGTTCTCCCCCTTTTAATCAGTGTTCTTTTCTTTAAGAAATTGAGAATGATAGGATGGGATGATGGAAGTGCTATGTAGTATACCTGGATTATATCCTTGGATTTTTGTTTTAGTGAAGAAATTCTAGGAAATGTCATTTTCTGGGCTTTTTTCTAGGAAGAAAATTGTAAAATGGTAGACTTACAGTTTGCTCTGTTATTTTACTCAGGATGAGGAATTCTACCTGGTGAAGTGGCGGGGCTATTCTGATTCAGAGAATACCTGGGAGCCCCGAAAGAATTTGCGATGTATCAGTATACTCAAGCAATTCCACAGGGACATAGAACAGGCAATGATCCGGCGTGGTAGCAAACTCAAAAAGAATATGCGCTTACTTGATCAAGGAATTTCCAATTATTTGGTTCAGAAGGCCAAACAGAGGCGAGCTTTGCAGCAGTGGGAATATGAGCTTAATGCCAAGCGCAACCACAAGGGACGAATTGTGGTAGAAAATGAGGTGGACTTGGATGGGCCTCCCCGGGACTTTGTCTACATCAATGAATATAAAGTTGGGGATGGTATCACTCTCAACCAGGTGGCTGTAGGCTGTGAATGTTCGGACTGTCTGTCAGAAGCAGCAGGAGGATGCTGTCCTGGTGCTTCACACCATAAATTTGCCTATAATGAGTTGGGCCAAGTAAAGATCAAGGCTGGCATGCCCATCTATGAGTGCAATTCTCGCTGCAACTGTGGTATTGATTGCTCAAACCGTGTAGTACAGAGGGGCATTCGTTATGACCTTTGCATTTTCCGGACAGATAATGGACGTGGTTGGGGTGTACGTACATTGGAGAAGATTCGCAAGCACAGCTTTGTCATGGAATATGTTGGAGAGGTAAGGCTGAGCCTGTATGATACATAAATTTTGTTGATTCTGAATCCAAATGGAATCTGCTCCAAATCATACCAGATAAAAATAGATACGGTACTATATAATTACAATTCTTTATTCAAAGCAAACAATCAATATTGTGCTAAACCACGTGACTTGAGGCACATATAAGAGTAATCTTTTAATTTCAATTTCCCATGAATCTGGGAAAAGATGTTTGATCTCATAAATTATATGGTTTAACTAATTGGAAAGAAAAGGAAAGTTAATACACAGATCTTGTTAACTAATTATCAGATATGTTAGCAGTGGAAAGCACTTCTGATCATGGTGAGTTGGGAGATGGTAGTTGGGAGATATTTTGGCGCCTCCTGCTGGATTTGTGCATACAGAAGCTTGAATGGATGAAAGCAGCACAACAGAACTGTCCAACATGTTCATTTCATTTAAACTGTTAAAGAGTTTGATCATCAAAATAAAGAATTTATATTCTATGGGAATTTGGGAGTATTTTCACATCTTTGCATTAATCAAAATGATAACACAAATACATTTAGAGTCTGTTAGGATATATTCAGCACAGCAAAGCAACTGAACACCCCCCTCCCCATAGAAATAAAAAAATGCAGAGGGATAACAGTAGTATATGATAAGAATCATAAGCAAAAGTACTTTTTATTTTATAGACTTTAGATTTTTATTTCTTCCACATCATTTCCAGATTATCACATCAGAGGAAGCTGAAAGACGGGGTCAGATCTATGACCGAGAGGGTGCCACTTATCTGTTTGACCTGGACTACGTAGAAGATGTATACACAGTAGATGCTGCCTATTATGGCAACATTTCACATTTTGTTAATCACAGTGTAAGTGCAATAAATTAATGAGGGAGCCTTGTACTCAATAATATTCAGAGCAAGATTTGTTTCACTTTTCACTCAACCTGGCATTCTCTGCTTCCAGTGCAACCCCAATCTACAGGTGTATAATGTTTTTATTGAAAATTTGGATGAACGACTGCCACGCATTGCTTTCTTTGCTACTCGAGCTATCAGAGTTGGAGAAGAGCTCACCTTTGACTATAATATGCAAGGTAAGAAAGGAGAAATTTTGGGAGAATTTGAGATGACTTGCGATTTGCCATAGTGAACTTGGGAGATAAGATTTAGGAAATAAGTTCCTATTTTCAACTATTCTAAATTCTGGTTGGACTTATTGTTTGCTCTAAAACAGTGGTTCTTAACCTATGGTCCACAGATCCCTTGGGGGGGGGGGGCTGAAATAAAATCACAAGGGATCTGCAAAGGCATGAAAAAATGATTGAGAAACACTGCTCTAAAAGATTGTTTCTATATTATGTGCAAGTTGCTTCTGGTTTTTGTCTCTTGAAGTAATATTTAAGAGTTAAAGGAACATAATTTCAAGTTTAGTCAATGAGCGAATAAGTTTGTTATCAAACATAGAGATATCTTTTATGAAGTTTGATGGTAGATAAATGTCTTCCACAGTGGATCCAGTAAATGCAGAAAGCACAAGGATGGACTCTAATTTTGGCCTTGTGGGAAGTCTGGCTGGCTCACCGAAGAAGCGGATGCGAATTGAGTGTAAATGTGGCACAGAATCTTGTCGAAAATACCTTTTCTAGTTCTTTGCTAGTTTTTCTTGGAAGATGCCTGTAAAGCCTGGATTAGAAGTTCAAGCTGGCTGTTGAAAGATTGCAGACTGAGGCTAAGAGTCAGGAACTTACCTGCTTGAAGAACAAATGATAAACGTTTAGAACTGCGAGGGCAGTAATCCACATTTCTTGTGCTATATAACACTGACTTGGCTGCTTCTGATTGCCTGATCAGAGTATTCTTATGGAAACATGGGTGTGGGGCAGTCTCTTCAGTAGGTGGACAGGTTGCTTGACTTTATCTTGCTGCTGGAAAAACTACAGCATAGAACAGAACTCCTTTAATAAATCTGTGCTTATTTTATCTCAACTACAGCTTACTGTTTAAAGCCTTAAATGAAAGACAAGGAACAAGCTAATTTTTTAGGTTTTTGCCGAAGGACAAAAGAAGCACTTCCTAGCCACCTTACTAGTAGGTGGGAAATCAAAGCCGTTTTCTTCTCCCTGTGCACAGATTTTGCATTACCTCAGTGTGCCATATGACTGTTGTCCATCTTTACATAATTGCTACTTGAAGTCGCACTTAAAACCCATCATGGAGTAAAGCTCTATGCAATCTGAAAAGCAACAATGTCATATTTTTTAATTAATGCATTTGTTTTTAAAGAAAATGTTTTAATTTTTTTAATGGGTTGGGGCAAAAACTAGTTTCTGGAAATAGCTGTATTTTGGAATATGTTATGAAGTTCTTGAATTATGACTGCTGAACTGAATTAGTTGTCTGGAGTCTTTATTTTGTGTTTTACAACTTACTGTTCCTTTTTTTAAAAAATCACTGCAGTAATAATGTAAAGATAATAGATTTTAGAAGCAGCTTTAGTCTAACAAATGGGGGAAACATGTAATCAGTTGCAAAATCAAATCACTTGCTTTTGGGCTTCAGTTTTTATAAACATAAAAGATGATTTTGTGGAGCAGGAACATGTTTGGCACAAAATAGTGAGGGCTTAATCTATTTTGTTTTAATAATAAATTGGAATAACATAATTGGAAATGAATATTTGAGCCATTGAATCCAAGCCCCTGCTCAGTCCCAAATCAAAATGAAAGCATCCCTGACAAATATCTATCCAATCTTTGCTTGCATATATCCAATCAAAGGGAATTCACCATCTCCTAGGATAAAAGTTTTCATTTTTGAGTGCCCTTTAGGAAGTTTTTCTGACACTTCAACTGGAAAATGTCTTCTGGTAATTTTAGACTAATTATTTCAGGTCCTTTTTCTCTGGGACAACCAAGCACAGATTATATTAGCATACCCTAAATATCATAAAGGGTAACAATTATAACCTTATAACTTTTTAGAAACTAAACATTTACTTATTCTTTATTACCACCATGTAGACCCATTTCTATGCCCTGATTATCTTTACATCTTTTTGCACTTATTCCAGTGTATCTAAATCCTTAAAAGTGTTATGCATAGAAAAAGATACAGATCTGCACTATTATTTGTGAGATCTGAAAATATATTCTACTGACACAATTTGAAATTACATTACTTTTGAATTACATTACTGATTGATATCAATTCTACTTCAAAGACCCTTTTTGCACATATAAGAGCTGCTCATCCTGCTCTGACAAACTTGAGTTTTCTTAAATAAAGGCGTGTTTCTGTATTATTGAATATTAGCTCTCCCACCCAATTTCATATCATTTGTAAATTTGGTGACTGTTCAGTCTATCTCTGTTCAAAATAACTGTCAAAATGGTTGATGTGTATCTGGCTTAGGACTTAACCCTGCAGCCCTCACTTTGTACTTCTGGATTAATTTTAAGGACCCACTGTTAGCCTCCTTAAGCATTACACCTAGTTCATATTTGTCTAGCTTAATAATGATGTTATGTGATAGTTTAAATCCTTTACTGAAATCAAGATATATGAAATGTTTTCCATTCCCCTATATTAAAACTGGATTTAAAAAAAAAACAACTCAAAATAAGCTTAGTGTGACAAAATTTCTTGAAAAATCTATTCAGGCTTCTGCTGATTACAATAACATTTAAAATGCTGTTTTTGTTTTGAAGCCCAGTGAGTGATAAAACTTGAACCTGTTAGGAAGAAAATAATCAACAAATAAAATGGGATGCTTAAAACTGTTCAAAGTGTATTTCCCCTATAGAAATTAGGGAAAATAAGAATGCTAGGTCCCAGTGTTCTTTTGAACATTTGTATTTAATGTAAATGGCATACGAAGAAAAACATTTCAGGGATGACCTTTTTCAAATGAGCCCGGATTTAGCCATTTAAGCATCTCACCAACTATATTAAAAAAGATTAGCAAAATGCGAGTACATGTTAATAGTTTTTTTTTACAAATATGAAATATTTGGGTGTATTTTATTATCTGTATCGGAATACAGTCATTTTAGTAGATAGTCACATTTTCCTTATTAGGGACCATACTTACTTTAAAAAAATATACCTTTGGGGATGATAGTAATGCAGAATTTTTCAGACTATAAGACGCACCGGAGTATAAGACGCAACAAGATTTTGAAGAGGTAAATCTTTTTTAAAAATTCTTTGCCCTCCCTGGCCCCTAAGAGCACTCTGTAGGCCTCCCAAACCCTCTGCATGCCATTTTTTGCAAAAAAAACCAGGGCGTGCAGAGGATTTGGGAGGCCTGTAGAGTGCTCCTGGGGGCTGGGGAGGGCAAAAACACTGTTTTTATGAAAAACCCGTTTTCACTAGCTTTTGCCCACCCCAGCCCCCAGGAGTAATCTACAAGCCTCCCAAACCCCCTGCATGCCTTGTTTGTTTTTTGCTTGTTTTGCCCTCCCCAGCCCCCAGGAGCACTTTGTAGGCCTCTAAAACCCTCTGCACGTCCATTTTTACGAAAAACGGGATGCGTGGGGCAGGGTTTCGGGAGGCCAAAAATGCTGTATTCAATGTATAAGATGCACCCAAATTTTCACCCTTTGGGGGGGGGGAATGTGCATCTTATACTCCAAAAATACTGTAATTCTCTTTATTCTAGAGGTATACAATATTCTGAAATATAAATTAATCAAATAACCTGGTTCGGTTAAGTCATGGCAACATTAATCAAAGCTAAGCATAACCAACCTTTAATGCAATCATTAAATTTTTAACAGTTTGTGTTGTAGAATTTGCTTCCACAAGATGTGTAAGAGCTATCAGTTTATATTACCTTGAAAAGAAATTGTGCTGTTGTTGAAGATAAATCACTTGGTTATACCAACTTACGCTATCAGCAGACCTTGTGACATAATTCTTCTGAGTACATCCTCTCCAGCAACTAAGGGCACCACTGATTTCTTGTGGTTTTGTTTTCCTGGTATATATTATGTACATAGAATGTTGTAACAGTCTGATCCATTAAGACAGATTAAATGAAGACTATACAGTGACTGTCATGGAGTGAACATTCACCTACTCAATACTTCTGAAGCAATACACTATTGATGACTCCCTCCCTACGCAATTCCGTGAAAAAGAACCAGTTTTAATTTAAGAGCAGTTTAAATGGTAGACTGCAGTTAACAGTTTATTAGAAATACATCTGCATTATGTTAGAAAAACATACCTTTACCTAAACATACTTAGTTTCTGTTTGAAAGTCTCATGTTACTTTACATTCTTGTTAACTTTATTTTTTCCGCCTAACATACCTTCCCTTTAGAGCTAAACTGATTTATACATTTCAGACACCATTACCATGTAATAATATCTTAATCCTCTCAACTATACTCAAAAATCTGTCAACTCTGCCTAACACTATGCAATTTCCTTGCTACAAAGATGTGACTGCTTGCATGCCCATGGATATGATCCCTTTAGCTCAATCCATACTTCTTGATAAGATTACCTAATTGTACTACTGTAACTCTCAATCTATTCCTTTGCCAGGTACCTGCCTGAAAAGCCTATGATTAAATACCACTATTTTTTCCAGTGACAGTTAATTTACAGAGTTTCTTCTTATGCACAGGAGAGAACAAAGCCAAAGAAAAATTGTAACAGCCACAATACAGAAAGTTTAATACAACAACCTTCCCTCTTATACCCCCGTTTCATGCATGCTGTGAAAGATGTAACAAAAATGCATTTTGCAAGTAGACCCGTTTCAGAACTTCATTTCTAAGAAAGCTCATTTCTGTGGTATCAGGAATATGCTAATTATTTTGGTAGATTTCAGATGGCTTACTATACATTAAATACCTTGTTCATATCTGTGGCTTTCATACACAAATGTTATATTAGGACAGTACTGTCAACTTGCTCTTGAAAAACATGCTAAAACAAATATTCTACTACATATATTCTACTATATCGAAGAGCAGTCTATGCACAAATTTAATGCTGCAGAAGTCCATCAATTCAATTAACACAGGTTGATTTTCTTCATCTTCGATATCTTTTGTGTTACATTGTAGTGAGTGTGGTACTTTAACCCAGTGTTTTTCAACCACTGTGCCGTGGCACACTAGTGTGCC